ATGTTGCAGCGAGGAGAAGGCTGGAGGCAGTGGAGATGTCATGTCTGAGGGCAATGTGTGGTGTGAATATAATGCAGAGAATTCGTAGTTTGGAAGTTAGGAGGAGGTGCGGGATTACCAAAACTGTTGTCCAGAGGGCTGAGGAAGGGTTGTTGAGGTGGTTCGGACATGTAGAGAGAATGGAGCGAAACAGAATGACTTCAAGAGTGTATCAGTCTGTAGTGGAAGGAAGGGGCGGGTAGGGGTCGGCCTAGGAAGGGTTGGAGGGAGGGGGTAAAGGAGGTTTTGTGTGCGAGGGGCTTGGACTTCCAGCAGGCATGCGTGAGCGTGTTTGATAGGAGTGAATGGAGACAAATGGTTTTTAATACTTGACGTGCTGTTGGAGTGTGAGCAAAGTAACATTTATGAAGGGATTCAGGGAAACCGGCAGGCCGGACTTGAGTCCTGGAGATGGGAAGTACAGTGCCTGCACTCTGAAGGAGGGGTGTTAATGTTGCAGTTTAAAAACTGTAGTGTAAAGCACCCTTCTGGCAAGACAGTGATGGAGTGAATGATGGTGAAAGTTTTTCTTTTTCGGGCCACCCTGCCTTGGTGGGAATCGGCCGGTGTGATAATAAAAAAAAAAATAAATACAACAAATTTCTAAGAAAATTTCCAAGACTGTAGGCATACTATCGAAGATACGGTACTATGTTCCACAGTCAGCCCTCCTGGCCCTTTATCACTCTCTTATTTACCCCTATCTCACCTATGGAATTTGTGCATGGGGCTCAACAACAATTAACCATCTCAGACCACTAATTACCCAACAAAAGGCTGCAGTTAGAATGATAACAAATTCTCACTACAGGCAGCACACTCCACCAATATTCAAAACACTCAACCTACTCACCATACAAAACATCCATACTTATTACTGCACCTATTACATACATAGAACACTTAACTCTGATATTAACCCTCCCCTCAAACATCTCCTTGCCAACCTCAAAAGAACACATGACTATAACACAAGGCACAGATCACTCTTTGATGTTCCTCGTGTCCATCTCACGCTATGCAAAAACTCAATGCACATAAAAGGCCCTAAAATCTGGAATTCATTACCTGTAAATATAAAAGAAACACTACCTGTTTATAAATTCAAGTCTCTTCTCAAAGATCACTTACTCACTCAAAACCAAATAAATACTGAATAACTGAACCTTATAAATTGTATATCCTATATGTTACTCACAATTATATCACAGAAATGTTAAACCTAGGACCCAAATAACTTTGTTATTTTTTTAAATACACTACCTAACAGAATACTCCATTCGACTGAATGTACAGCAATGCATGCAACCATATGACCTGTCTTTGTAATACTCATTTGTGCTTTATAGTTATCTGTTTACAATAATGTTTTATCACTGATTTCATCATTGCTTAGTTAATCTTAAGTTAATTTTAAGCCAGCCCATAATGCTATGCATATAAGTGGCTTTGGCATGCTGCTCTTACCTGTATTTTTTTGTACCTCTGTATGTATGCTAAAATTACTAAATAAATAAATAAATAAATAAATCACTGAAATCACTGAGGTAACGGTTATTAAAGAAATGTTGAACATTAAGTTGGAAAATTGTAATCCCCATTATTTCTTGCACTTCGCACGTGTACTGCGGTCTGAATGTCTGCAAGTAAATTCATGTTTGGACTCGTCAAGGGGAGGAGGGAAATTCTGAGTAGTTGCTTGTGTACTAAAAGTGTCACCATCCTCACTAGAGTTGGTAACATTAACAGAATCATTATAGTTATTAGAGTCGTCATCAGAAAACTGAGGTGTGATATTCCCAGTTTCAGGAGAGGCTCGTGAGAGTTAATGGGAGACTGTGGAGGCTCCAAGGAAAAATTTGGTAGGCCAGGTGAATTATCCTGGGAAAGTTCCTGTTCAACAGGATCAGTTGCTATAGCGGAAGAGTAAGCACCAATCTCTGGGGCATGGTTAGGGTCAGGTATTGACTCATCGGGCTGAGGGGAGTTGATAACCTGGGTATGCGAGGTGGGTGATCCCTGAGCAAGAGACGAATTAGGCGTATTTGTAGAGGTAGAGTAGGGCACATACTTCCTGTTTTGAGAGGGCTGGGCCATAATAACCTTAATATTATCTGGGATAGTAATGGGAGTGATCCCATTAGCCATTAACAAATCATTGAAAATATTAGAGCCGACTTTAATATCACGACCTGCTATGTCCTTGGCCATCATATACATTAGTTGAGCTCTCGTCATATCCCCGGCTGAGGACCCCTGAGACATGGGAGGTGAGGCTGGACCTTGTGGTTGCATTTGTATATGTTGTAGGTGAGGGTTAGATTGGGGCACTCCAAGAGGGGTAGAATTCCAAACATTGGAACCAGTGGAAGAGAACTGAGGAGTCCCACTAGATCCAGGCAAAGCTGGGAAGGAAGTCTGAGACATTGTTGGAGGTGCCTGGGGAGTGGTCTTCGAAGAATTGGATAGTTTCTTGGCTTCTAGAATTTTCTGTATTACCTTTTTCCTCTCAGGACAGATACCAGAAACAGCATGGTGCTTTCTATTGCAGAGGACACACTTGGGCTTAGTTTTGTTATGACAATCTTTAAAGGAATGTTGACCAGAGCATATGCTGCAAATCAGTGCTTGGGTACTGCATTTGTTGGTATGACCAAATGCGTAACATTTAAAACATTGTGTAACACTGACAAACCGTTCAAGAGAGATTTGGTGAGGTGTACATCTGGTGCCAAAACATTTGAAACCATTTTAACAAACTAGTTTGGCTCCTTCAGGTGTCTCAAGTATTAACTTCAGTGTTACCTGGTTGTTGCCAGGTTTCGAGAATTTATATGCATGGACAACCTTAAATTCAGAATTCTCCCTATTAAATTCATCTACAAGTTCCTCCACTGAGCTCTCTCTCATGAAGCTGTTAATTCTGGCCACAAACACAGTTCCTTGTGCTTGATAGCTTTCAGGTGCAGCTGGGGTAATATCAAAAGTCTTCAATTTTTCCAGAACATCTTGCTTGAGCAGTTGAAGTAACTCTTCTAGAGAAGAGAGGAGAAGTACTGCCCCAGCGTGGGTTTGAAAAACATCCACTGGAGCAACAGTTGAATTCGAACAAATACATTCTAGAATTTCTTTCTTCGACTTTTGATTGTCATCAACACGTAATCTTACTCTTATTCGTGCCATGATGTCCAGGAAGGTACATCTGGCACAGAAGTTGCTTTAACAAAAAGGGTCTTTCCTTAGTGTTAGTCCTGATAGCCTAAGATAGCCTACCCTCGAGTGGTGAGGCGCAAAAGGGCCCAAGGCAAAGATCAGCCGGATTTTAACCCTTTGACTGTTGCAACCCCCAATCCTGAAGTGTCTCCTGGTGTCGCAAAATTTAAAAAAAAAAAAAATTATTTTTTCTTAAGAAATGATAGAAAATCTTTACCCGACTATAATGACACCAAAAAAACGAAATTTGATGGAAAACTGACGGAATCATGCTCTCTCGGCGCTGTTTACAAATCGGCGATTTCGTCCACTTTGAGCCCTATTTTCGGCTAATTCCATTGTTCCAGTCGCCCAAACTCATAGCTATTTCTTTAGAACTCCATTTTTTCTATCGATTGAGTACAAGAAACTGCCCATTTACCGATTTCAGCTACCTAATAATGTGGTCAGAAATTTGCAATTTGGCCAATTTCACGAAAACTAAAAAATATGACAATTTCAAAATAAGATCCAGAATGAACAATGCAGACATTCCTGGCTCTAAAATAACATTTTCTTTGCTCATCAGTCATGTCTCCAGGCCCCTCTGATATTACTCTTGCCCTTTTTATTTTGAATTTTTATTCAAACAAAAAATAGAAGACTTACTATTATGCAGACTACTGCAATACTGTAATAATTGTATAAATAACATCAACCCATTCATGACTGCACATTAGAATGGCTAGTTGGACATTTATTGGACAATGGCATCATTTGTTTACTCTTGAACATTGGCAAAAATCAAACATTTTCCCTACTTTGAGCTCCATTTCTAGGTTCTTTTTATAGTAAAATCAATCAAAATCAGCTCTATTTCTATAATATGTTTTCCATTCTATCAAATGAGACCAAGAAAACGAGAATACAACCATAAATACTATACGAAAATAGACCACAAAGTCGGCATTTTAATTAAAAAAAAACGGTCGGAGTTTTTTTTTCTCATTATGCACTGCGTGTTCCAGGATTTTTTTTATATGGTGCACACTGACCACACAGACCCATTCTCTCACATGTGGGCCTACCAGCTTTCTCTTGCTTGATTTGAAGCCTCTAGAATTTATGAGTATATATACGTCAAACACGGTACCTCGTAAGACGTATATATATGGCCGCGACAGTCAAAGGGTTAAAAAATCACAAATGCTACCGGATGGTCAAAATGCCTTGTGTTAACTTGCCAAAGGCAAAGTTGCCGAAAAAGAAGAAGATAGGAAAGTCAGAAGGATAGCAATGTAAGTAGTGTGTTAGTGTGTGGGCCAGTGTAGATGTTTGGGTGAGGGGAGGATGGGGAAGGTTGGGGAGATGGGGAAGAGAGGGGTGAACAAGCAAGCAAGTCACCACCTTACCCTCTTGATGGGATGGGGCTCTAAGTGACTGCAAGCAAGTTTCCTCTCAGCTCTGGTCGAGAACAACTGAGGATAACCCAAGAAAAATCTCAAGTAACAGTGCTCAGAGTTGCTCTGATCGAGAATTACTCAGGATAACCAAAGAGCAGGAACGACAACGTCTTCTCTCCATGGCGGCTGGACAGCTCTGTCAGTGTCTGTGTATTCTTTTTTACCCTATAAATGCAGAATTTTTCAGGTGCAAATTTCTATTTTACTCTGACTGTTTCCCTTAGAGTGGGAGAACTCTGCATTGAAAAACACATGGTAAATATAATTAATGCCTAAATTACATTAGAAAACAACTACTGTAAGTACCTTCAAGTTGATGAGAGGTGCAGCATCAGGTAGAGAAACTATCTTGTTGCTCATCTGCCTACAATAATTTTGCATCAGCATGAACACAAACCCACGATCCATCACAGACAGCAAATCACACAGGAAAAATGCCAGACTGCTGTTCACATTCTGTACAAACTATGGAAAATATAGGTTAATATTACTAAACTTTACAGCAACAGTCACAAACAACTAGAAGAAAAAATATTATACAGTGGAACCTCTACTTGCGAGTTTAATCCGTTCCATGACCTTGCTCGCAACTGGATTTGCTCGTTTGCAGAGTCAATTTTCCTCATCTAAATTAATTCAAATGCAATTAATCCATTCCAGTGGAATTCTGTACTTCAATAATTTTGCTAATATCAACTCTACAGCTTATTTATCTATCTCATTTCATCTAATATGACATAATAAACAATATAAATAACATAGAAACCTGATATATACTCTAAAATGAATAAAATATGTCATTCATGTAGTGGTATGGGCAGTGTCAGAGGTGGACGAGAGTTTGTCCGGAGACCATGCAAAATACTTCATGAATAATTTAGCTAATATTATCTATACGGCTTATTTATCTATCATAGTTCATCTAATATGACATAACAAGCAATATAAATAACATAGAAACATGATATATGTACTCTAGAATGAATAAACTATGTCATTATGTAACAGGTGGAGGCGGCCACAACCGCTCCCTCTGTTGTGGTAAACACTGCCATCTAGCGACGGTCTTTTGAAGCCGTCTATTATAATTATTATATGTAGTACATTATTATTATACATGTATTATTATTATACATATTACATTATTATTATTATTATTATTATTATTATTACTATTATTATTATTATTATTATTATTATTTTTATTATTATTGTATTATATTATACTATTATTATTATACGTATTATTATTATACATATTATTATTATGTAAATAATTTGTAATTTTTATTCACACAAAAAATATAAGATTTAATGTTATGCCTTATTGCAATAATTGTATAAATAATGTCAACCCATTGACGACTGCATATTGGAATGGACAGTGACGTCATTTGTTTACTCTGAAACAGCCAAGCAACTGACCATTTGTCCTAGGTTGAGCTCAATTTCAAGGCACTTTTCGTTGTGAAAGCAACCAAAATCATATCTATTTCTGTAACATATCTTCCATTCTATCAAATGAGACCAAAAAAACGAGAATACAACCATAAAAACCATTCGAAATTACTGCTAAGGGGTGGCTAATTGCTGAGAAGTGAACTCCATTATTTATGCTTAGATTTCTTTCATTTTTTGGTGTACATTAAGAAGCATCTTTCCATCATACATTGCCCAAGTTTCAATAAGATAGTCCAACAAACAAATGAGATACAATTCCCGAGCTCAAGAGCAAGACCCCCTCACCAGTGTCAAGGAACCTGCTTGAAGTCTGCTCACTTGTGGAAATTTTGCTTGCGTATGGAAGCAAAAAATCGACCCATCGACTGCTCATATTTGGAAAAACTCGCACATGGACACGCTCACAAGTAGAGGTTCCACTGTATCTGCTATATTTACTGAACAATATAGCAGATATAATATAGGGAAGATACAGTAATCCCTCACACAATAATAGATGCATTCCACAAAAAATCATTTAGAAATTTAGAAACCAACTGTACAACTATTTATCCACTAGAATGAAGTCTAGCAGGCTGCTCTTGCTATGTAATATATCTTACCTTGGTTATAAATCAAGAAGAAAAATTATATAAAAGTTTATTTTTCAGCCTCTACCCATCATGTAGGTAGCAGTCCAATGGGTTTAGGAACCCAGCACCATTTTATCCTTAAAACATCTTTTACCTACTAATAAACTCTTACTTCCTTCCATAACAGTCATCCACTGTTGCATTAATGTCTCCCACAACTAATGTTCTTTAGCTCAAAATGATTTAACAGCTTTACACATCACAGAATAGCTACCTACCTCTTCAACATTCCTCTCACACCTAGGTGCAATAACACTTCCCGCAACCTACTTCATGCCATTTATACAATTCTCAAATTAAAATAATCACACCTTTCCCCTCCCCCCAATCCTGTTTTTTTTTTTACCAATATCACCACACCACCTTAGCTCCAACTCTTTCAAGATACACTTGACATTTATCTTTAACTTGCCAGCCATCTCCCACCAAGGGAGGGTAACCCAAAAAAGGAAGAGGGCCAATGTATTCGAAAAACATCAGGTGTATCTTCAAAGTGTCAGAGCTAAGGAGTTTTGCTAATGCTGGGTATGATTAATTTGAGAATTGAATAAATTAAAATTATTTAATTCCTTTAATTTCTTATTCACACCCAAGATCCTTTTACGAGTTTGAACTCATAAATAAACAATAATTATTTTCTCTATATCAGTATTACACCAACACAAACATCCCAAAGCCAAAATTTCCTATAGTACAGTGGAACCCCAGATTTTGCATGCACCGGATATCGAACTTTTCGGATTTCAGACACTTTTTTTGTGTGAAATTTTGCTTCTAATTTCGGACCTTGTCCCGGGAATCGCATGCATCAGACGAGCCCACCCACCGGGACACCGCTTCAGTCTGGCTCTGTCCCTGGTTGAGTGAGCATTCATCCGAAACATTTTGCAATTTTTGTTCTTGTTTATTGATTTTGACTGCGAAATAAGCCACCATGGGCCCAAAGCAAGTTCCTAGAGCCAGCCCTTTGGTAAAGGGCTGAGAGAGAGGGGAGAATGTGCCTTCTTCAGTGATTCTACGATATGTATGAGACTAAAGCAACAGGAGTCAATAAAGGCTATAGTGCCAGCCAGTGATAAAGTGTAGCATTAACAGTGTAGCAAGTAAGTTAAGCGATTAAGCGATAGAAAAAGGATGACATGAACTGTTGTCGGAGGTATACAGGGCCATTGACAACATATGCCACCCTGTGTATTTTCCACCACCCTAAACCAAGGCCAGCATCTCCTCCAAGGTAAGTGTAATTTTTTTTTTTTACAAGTTGGCCATCTTCCACTGAGGCAGGGTGACCAAAAAAGAAAGTAAATCCCCAAAAAGAAAATACTTTCATCATCATTCAACACTTTCACCTCACTCATACATAATCACTGTTTTTGCAGAGATGCCCAGAACACAAGAGTTTAGAAGAATATACATATAAAGATACACAACATATCCCTCCAAACTGCCAATATTCCAAACTCCTCCTTTAAATTGCAGGCATTGTACTTCCCATTTCCAGTATTCAAGTCTGGCTATATAAAAATAACCAGTTTCCCTGAAATTATTTTATTATTTTTATTAACACACTGGCCGATTCCCACCAAGGCAGGGTGGCCCGAAAACGAAAAACTTTCACCATCATTCACTCCATCACTGTCTTGCCAGAAGGGTGCTTTACACTACAGTTTTTAAACTGCAACATTAACACCCCTCCTTCAGAGTGCAGGCACTGTACTTCCCATCTCCAGGACTCAAGTCCGGCCTGCCGGTTTCCCCGAATCCCTTCATAAATGTTACTTTGCTTACACTCCAACAGCACGTCAAGTATTAAAAACCATTTGTCTCCATTCACTCCTATCAAACACGCTCACGCATGCCGCTGGAAGTCCAAGCCCTTGCAACAAAACCCCTTTACCCCCTCCCTCCAACCTTTCTAGGCTGACCCTACCCTGCCTTCCTTCCACTACAGACTGATACACTCTTGAATCATTCTGTTTCGCTCCATTCTCTCTACATGTCCGAAACTCAACAACACCCTTCCTCAGCGCTCTGGACAAACAGTTTTGGCAATCCCGCACCTCCTCCTAACTTCCAAACTACGAATTCTCTGCATTATATTCACACCACACATTGCCCTCAGACATGACATCTCCACTGCCTCCAGCCTTCTCCTTGCTGCAACATTCATCACCCATGCCTCACACCCATACAGGAGCGTTGGTAAAACTATACTCTCATACATTCCCCTCTTTGCTTCCAAGGACAAAGTTCTTTGTCTCCACAGACTCCTAAGTGCACCACTCACCCTTTTCCCCTCATCAATTCTATGATTCACCTCATCTTTCATAGACCCATCCGCTGACACATCCACTCCCAAATATCTGAATACATTCACCTCCTCCATACTCTCTCCCTCCAATCTGATATCCAATCTTTCATCACCTAATCTTTTTATCCTCATAACCTTACTCTTAACTGTATTGACTTTCAATTTTCTTCTTTTACATACCCTACCAAATTCACCCACCAACCTCTGCAACTTCTCTTCAGAATCACCCAAGAGCAGTGTCATCAGCAAAGAGCAACTGTGACAACTCCCACTTTGTGTGTGATTCTTTATCTTTTAACTCCACACCTCTTGCCAAGACCCTCGCATTTACTTCTCTTACAACCCCATCTATAAATATATTGTACAACCACGGTGACATCACACAGCTCGTCAGGTCCCAAATACGATTCATCTCTGTTCACTCCTATCTAACACGCTCACACATGCTTGCTGGAAGTATAAGCCCCTCGCCCACAAAACCTCCTTTACCCCTCCCTCCAACCTTTTCGAGGACGACCCCTACCCCGCCTTCCTTCCCCTACAGATTTATACGCTCTCCATGTCATTCTACTTTCATCCATTCTCTCTCTATATGACCAAACCACTTCAACAATCCCTCTTCAGCCCTCTGATTAATACTTTTATTAACTCCACACCTTCTCCTAATTTCCACACTCTGAATTCTCTACATAATATTTACACCACACATTGGTCTTAGACAGGATATCTCCACCGCCTCCTCGCTGCAGCATTTACAACAAACGCTTCACACCCATGTAAGAGTGTTGGTACCACTATACTTTCATACATTCCCTTCTTTGCCTCCAGAGATAGTTTTTGTCTCCACAAATACCTCTATGCACCACTCACCATTTTTTCTTCATCAATTCTATGGTTAACCCCATCCTTCATACATCCATTCACTGACACATCAATTCCCACCACCACCACTATATGTACGGCTTTTGCTGTCAATGGCCCTGATAAACCCAACACCAGCAGCAGCAGCACCACTCCTCACATACATAATAACACATTTTATTCATTCTAGAGTATATATAATGTTTCTATGTTATTAATATTGTTTAGTATGTCATATTAGATGAATTGTGATAGATAAATAAGTCGTAGAGTTGATATTAGCACATTATATTTAAGTATTTTGTCCTGTCTCCAAATAAACTCTCCTCCCAACAAGAGTCTTCAATAAAGGTATGTAATAGTGATTTAACTGTTCATTTATCCATTTCATTAGTGCTTTATATTTATTTCTCATTGCTTTCTGTATGTAAAACTATAGTTATTCTTTAAAACATGTATTTTTTTGTTAATGTTTTCGGGTGTCTGAAACGGATTAATTGTATTTACATTATTTCTTATGGGAAATATTACTTTGGTTTTCGCACTTTGCGGATTTAGAATGACCTTCTGGAATGGATTAAGTATGAAATCTGGGGTTCCACTGTATGTATTAAATTAAATAAAAATACACATATATAAGAAATAAAATGACATTTTCCTAGGCAATTATTTCCTATGATTTTTTTTTTTTTTAACAAGTCGGCCATCTCCCACCAAGGCAGGGTGACCCAAAAAGCAAGAAAATCCCCAAAAGGAAAATACTTTCATCATCACTCAATGCTTTCACCTCACTCACACATAATCATTGTTTTTGTAGAGGTGCTCAGAACACAACAGTTTAGAAGCATATACGTATAAAGATACACAACATATCCCTCCAAACTGCTAATATCCCGAACCCCTCCTTTAGAGTGCAGGCATTGTACTTCCCATTTCCAGGACTCAAGTCCGGCTATATAAAAATAACCAGTTTCCCTGAATCCCTTCACTAAATATTACCCTGCTCACACTCCAACAGATCGTCAGGTCCCAAATATCATTCGTCTCCATTCTCTCCTATCAAACATGCTCATGCACGCCTGCTGGAAGCCCAAGCCCCTCGCCCACAAAACCTCCCTTACCCCTTCCTTCCAACCTTTTCGACGACAACCCCTACCCCGCCTTCCTTTCCCTACAGATTTATATGCTCTCCATGTCATCCTACTTTGATCCATTCTCTCTAAATGGCCAAACCACCTCAACAACCCTTCTTCAGCCCTCTGACTAATACTTTTATTAACTCCACGCCTTCTCCTAATTTCCACACTCCGAATTTTCTGCATAATATTTACACCACACACTGCCCTTAAACAGGACATCTCCACTGCCTCCAACTGCCTCCTATGAATACTTACAATAATAAAAATGCTTAAGAAAATGTAATGTAATCATTGTTTAAGATAGTTGTGTGTTCCACTGTAATTAATAAAACCTTTAATATGAACACGAAAAATGAGCACAGTGCTGTAATGCATTCTACAAAATTATTATATTCATTGTAATATACCAAGGATGTTCTAAAAAGTTGAATGATACTTTAAAATTAAACACTTCAGCATACTTTTAGTAACAGAAAACAATCATTGTTGGCATAATCTCCAAAAGTGCCACAGTAACTTCATACTGGCACTTCCCCGGAAAGCAACATTAATCTTAGCTCATGCGCAGCCATTCACCGATTCTCTTTGTCAGTAATGGGCAGAAGGAGCTGTTTGTGAAGCATAAATTTCCTGTTTAAAAGTTAGCTAGCAGCATGCACATTTTTCATTTAAACCTTTATTTGTAACCAATCTTACAATATTTCCTAAAATAAAAACAACACTATCACCACTATTCAAAGCTAATCTGTTAATATTACCTACAGTAAAAATATACTGTCTCCACTATTCATAACAAAACTTTAGATAGTGACTACAATAAAAGCAAATTCAGTCCCAATTATTCATAACTAATATTCTGCCATTGCCGACAATAAAAACATATATTGTTACTATTATTCATAAGTAAAAAAAAAAAGAGGATAAATAAGTATACACGATATGATGTAGGGCGAAATGACAGTAGTTTGTTGGATTATGTATTGGTAGATAAAAGACTGTTGAGTAGACTTCAGGATGTACATGTTTATAGAGGGGCCACAGATATATCAGATCACTTTCTAGTTGTAGCTACACTGAGAGTAAAAGGTAGATGGGATACAAGGAGAATAGAAGCATCAGGGAAGAGAGAGGTGAAGGTTTATAAACTAAAAGAGGAGGCGTTAGGGTAAGATATAAACAGCTATTGGAGGATAGATGGGCTAATGAGAGCATAGGCAATGGGGTCGAAGGGGGTATGGGGTAGGTTTAAAAATGTAGTGTTAGAGTGTCAGCAGAAGTTTGTGGTTACAGGAAAGTGGGTGCAGGAGGGAAGAGGAGCGGATTGGTGGAATGATGATTAAAGAGAGTAGTAAGGGAGAAAAAGTTGCATATGAGAATTTTTTAAAACAAAGTAGAAGTGATGCAAGGAGGGAAGAGTATATGGAGAAAAAGAGAGAGGTTAAGAGAGTGGTGAAGCAATGTAAAAAAAGAGAGCAAATGAGAGAGTGGGTGAGATGTTATCAACAAATTTTGTTGAAAATAAGAAAAAGTTTTGGAGTGAGATTAACAAGTAAGAAAAGCCTAAGAACAAAGGGATTTTTCAGTTAAAAAAATGGGGAGAGGAGAGTTTTTTAAAATGGAGATTTAAAGGGGTTTTGGGGAAGATGGAAGGAATATTTTGGGGAATTGTTAAATGTTGATAAAGATAGGGAAGCTGTGATTTCGTGTATAGGGCAAGGAGGAATAAACATCTTGTGGAGTGAGGAAGAGCCAGTTGTGAGTGTGGGGGAAGTTCGTGAGGCAGTAGGTAAAATAAAAGGGGGGAAAGGGCACCCGGGATTGATGGAAAAGATAGAAATGTTAAAAGCAGGTGGGGATATAGTTTTGGAGTGGTTGGGCAATTGTTTAAATAAATGTATGGAAAGAGGGTAAGGTACCTAGGGATTGGCAGAGAGCATGCATAGTTCCTTTGTATAAAGGCAAGGGATAAAATAGAGTGCAAAAATTATAGGGGGATAAGTCTGTTGAGTGTACCTGGAAAGTGTATGGAATTATAATTGAAAAATTAAGAGTAAGACGGCAATCACAAAGATGACCAAGGAGCTTTAGGAAGGTAGGGCTGTAGGAACCAGTGTTTACAGTGAAACATTATGAACAGATTAATAAGGCTAAATTAGTTTTTGTGTGCTTAATGATTTGGAAAAAGCGTATGAAGGTGGATAGGGGGACAATGGACAGATTTCAAGCTGTATGCTTGTAGAGGTTAGCTAAAGCATTGCACGATTTTTACGAGGAAGTCCGGCTAAAGTAAAATATCAGTTGGGAAATTTTTTCCAGATAAACAGCCTTAGACAAGGATTGTGATGTCAGGTCCCGAGTTCATTCGTTATTATGTCGTTAAACGAGAACTAAGCGAGCTGAAGGCCCCAAGAGCCTGACTTAAAAGAAAAAACACTCCATGAGTTTCCCCAGCTCTCTTCTGATGACACTTTCTTGGAGACTTCCGAGAGTTGCCCAGAGATTGTGTAATTCCGTAGGGTTGCAATAGAAATTAAAGTAAAACAGGAAACAGAAGGACAACCCTAACTACAAGATAGTGATGACTAGATTATTATTAACTGACGGCTTAGTGGAGATTTCACACTCCAATATTTCTGGGAGTGGATCGTGTCAGCGATGCCTTAAAAGAGTGAATCCACTGCATCAAGGCACCATGAGTGTTACATATAGAAAAGTCTTGGAGAAAAGAATGTGTCATTTGAGGCAAGATTGGTGGAATGTAATATAAAACTTTAACCAACGCCTAAATGTAAGCGTGGGTAATGCATTGCACAAAAGGTAGCATGAATGTCTTTGAGCAATGTGTGTGAATAAATCAGGAATTGTAGTTTGGAACTTAGAGGGGCGGATTAAAAAACTGTTGTCCAAGTGAGGAAGGGTTGTTGAGTGAGATTCGGACTGTAGAGAGAATGGAGCGAATCAGAAGACTTCAAGTGTATCAGTCTGAGTGGAAGGAACGGGTAGGTCGGCACTGATGGAGGAAGCGGGTTAATGTAGGCTTTGTCGGCAGGGCTTGACTCCAGCGCAGTAGGCGTAGATAGGAGTGATTTGGAACAAATGGTTTTTAATACTTGAAGTTTGGAGCGTGAGCAAATTTCATTTAAAGCTTCATTGAACCGTCAGCGGACTTGAGTAAACTGAAAGAACTACATCTCCACTTGAAGCTAATGTTATTTAACGTACAGTTTAAAAACAGTAGTGTCAACATCCATTGCAAGACTTTGATGGATGAATGATGAGAAATTCTTCCAATTTTTAGCCTACCCTCTTGTGGCATTGCCGACAATATAAAAATATATTGTTACTATAATTCATAAGTAATAATATGACACTGCCTACAATAAAAACAAACACTGTCAAAAATTTTTTCATTAATATTCTGACATTGCCTACAATAAAAAATGCAACTATCCAAGCCTTTAAAAAAAAAATTATTTTCAATTTATTTAATTTTCAGCTTGATTTGCTAACATATACTATTACAATACATACAGTACTCTTTACCCACATTTTCTGTACAGCAATTAAAAAATTATCACAAACATGTGGAGAAATAAAAATCTTACCCTGGTGTCTCTGACATCTTTGTTGTGTAAAGCAATGATATCATTAGTGATAGATGCAGTGAGATTTTGGATATCATCTGCAAACTGGTGCGAGAATCTCATTTTGCGCAAGATGTCTTCCCCACTATTTCTGGCAAGATGTTCTGTCATGGACTTGATCATCAGCTCAAAGAAAAACCTATGAAGACGAAATATTATTGCAAAAAATATCATTTTTAATAAAATAAGCAATATTAAAAAAAAATTACAATAAAAACAAAGCACATTAATTTATCCTTTTTTTCTATTTTAACACGTCAGTTGCCTCCCACCAAGGCAGGGTGACCCAAAAGAAAGAAAAACCCAAAAAGAAAGAAAAAAAAACTTTCATTATCATTCAACACTTTCACAATCACTCATACATAATCACTGCCTTTGCAGAGGCGCCAGATACGACAGTTTAGATAGTCACTCCAAACTGCCAATATCCCAAACCCTTCATTAATGCTCAAAATGTTCTGCCTAACCAGGGGCTTACCACTAAGTTTGTTAAACAGGTCACCTAACTTTGTAACACTTGTATACCATACTTTCTGGTAACAAGCATTTTTATTTACTAATGAACTAATGGGGAGGGGAATAATGGCTGGTAACTGCAGTTGTGGTGGATAGGGAAGAGAGGGAAGAGACTGTTTTTGTTTTGCAGTGGTTGTAACAATATTGGACAATTCCATAACCATGTACAGTGGACCCCCGCATAACGATCACCTCCGAATGCGACCAATTATGTAAGTGTATTTATGTAAGTGCGTTTGTACGTGTATGTTTGGGAGTCTGAAATGGACTAATCTACTTCACAATATTCCTTATGGGAACAAATTCGGTCAGTACTGGCACCTGAACATACTTCTGGAGTGAAAAAATATCGTTAACCGGGGGTCCACTGTACTTTGTTTCCAAACCAATTAACCCAGGGGCTTGTGTCCTATATTTTAAATGTCCATTACACAGAGGTCTGTTATACGGAGGGTTTACTGTATTTCTATACATGAAGAATGAGAACTTATATGTTACGTTGAAGCTTTACGTTTAATACAATTTATTCACTAAACTAATCTATCAGCAATACTTTTAGTTCAATATGCTACAATACTGCTAAATACATAATGTGATTCAAACTTTTATATTTATCAGCTTTGGCCTTGTCCAAAATGCTGTATAAACTAAGGGCCCCACGATATTTTCATCTGTGTATATACATACTGAATACCAGTGTATATGTAATATTGTGTAATGACTCTTATTAACATTTCCTTTGATAATGCTGGTTTAGTGTGTTTATCTCACTCATTTTCTTGATGTATGTTACATATGTTACTAGATTAACTAGCTTTATTTACTGTTCAAATATAAAAATGTGTGTTATAGCCAGACAGCTTTTTTCCACCAAGGCTGGGTGACCCAAAATGCATTCACCATCATTCAGTCAATCATTGTCTGTCCAGAAGTGTGCTAACATCATGATTTAGATGACTCTCCAACTGCAACGTCTCCACCCTTCCTTCAGAATGTAGGCACTCTGAAGGAGGAGTGGAGAATGTTGTAGTTCGGAGGGTCATCTAAATTGTGATGTATGCATGCTTCTGGAAAGACAAGTGACTGAATGAGTAACAGTACAAGGGTTTCTTCTTTACTGAGTCACCCTACCTTAGTGAGAGACCTGGTGTGTTAAAAAAAAATGTGCATGCATGCATACATATGTATGTATGAATGCATACATGCCATCATGAAATGTACTTAATACAGTTTTAATAGAGATTTAACTTTTATTAGAAGAAAGTGATGCAGTGCTAAAGGGTCATAAATCTCGTATGGCGATATTTTGCATATAAATGTTTTTTGAAGATTGTACAACAGTTAATATGTTGCACATGTTAGGGGATAAAGAAAGGCTCAAAAAAGTAAAAATATATGCATAGAGGCTGTAAGGAGAAGCTTCTAAGATTTATGTCTCCTTACTCAATCATGACCCAGGTAGTAGGTTGGTAGACAGCAACCACCTAGGGAGATACAACCATCCTGTTAATTGAGTGTGAAATGGAAAACTGTAATTGTTTTACATGATGGTAGGATTGCTGGTGTCTCTTTTCTGTCTCATAAACATGCAAGGTTTCAGGTACGTCTTGCTACTTACACTTAGGTCACACTACACATGCATGTACAAGCATATATTTATATATCACACACATGCCTCTGGGTTTTCTTCTATTTTCTTACTAGTTCTTGTTCTTGTTTATTCTCTCTTCTCTTACATCCACAGGGAAGTGGAACAGAATTCTTCCTCCGTAACCCATGAATGTTTTAAGAGGCAACTAAAATGCTTGGAGCAAGGAGCTAGTAACCCCTTCTATACACACTACTAAGGTTTAAGAAAGAAACTTTCATTTTTCTTTTTGGGCCACCCTGCTTCGGTGATATTTGGCCAGCTTGTTAAAAAAAAATAAATAATTATGAGACAAATAAAACACCAACAAATATAATGTTGCTGTTTAATTCATATTGTAAGTAGAGCATCTACTCACCAAGAGTTAGCCAGAGCTTTCTCTCGCCCAGTACCATTGGATACAACCCACTGAAGAGCCACTTCTTCGTGAGTTACTTTCCTCCCTGCTGGCCGTTGGAGTGTTATAAGATTTTCGTAATTGCTTCCTGTTAAAATTAAAGCTGCGTAAAAACCAAAATAAAACCACATACAATAAATACACTTTTTAAACTAAGGCAACCTACATAACATTTCCATTTTCTTAAGAAAATGAGATCGAACAAATTGAAATAACTTATGACTCATTAGGTTATATAATATATTGTTTGATGCATGAAAATTTATCTTTTGGTAGGGTTTGATTGACTTCACACTTCAGAACCTAGCTAATAGCATTATAATATACTAAAGACTATAGATATCACAGGTACATCACATTGTAACAGTAGTTTTTCATGGGTCATGTACGAAATTCCATATCAGCAATAAGCATGGAGCTACAAGATGAAAAATAGAGACGAGGTGATGATTGATGAAAATTATTATATTTACAAATCCTATTACCCATTTACATTTGGTTACTATACCTTTCAAGTCCAACATTTCTTCATCATCTAATGAGTAACAGACATGCAATTAAATATGAAAAAAAAAAAGATATTTATTAGTATTTGAAAATAATACATCTACTGTAATGTAAATTTTGCTACCCGAAAGTTAGCATAGTGAAGGAATCAATATGAAAGTGACTGAATACAATACTACAACCCTTTTTTATGAATTCAGTTCATTATAAGTAGCTACAGTATTTAGAACACCTTCATTATGCACCAAACACAGAATTAAATCTATCAATACCCAACATACTGGACTGCTACAGACAAGCAACTACTGGCAGACCTCTCAACTATCTCTACACTACTCTCCCGGCATCTATACAGGGAAAGAAAATGCCTTCAGATTACTACAGTATAACATTTATCAGCAATCAAACCCAAACACACAGAAACGTCAAACAACACCAACCACATTCAGATCCCTAAAACTGTTGAATGTACAAACCCTTCACACCCTAACTTATACATTCACTGTTTAAAGGACCACCATTAACTGCTGCATAATTCTAGCCCTCACCTAAAACTATTTCTAAAAAGGTTGCAGTAAAACCCACACATACAATAAAAATTTACAGTATTGCATTATTTTACCAATAAATTATAACTCTTAGTTTTAAAGTATCAAAATAAATAACAATATAAAATCCCCACCTGTTCTCATGGAGTTGGTTCTGTCCAACCCACGAGCAAAGATTCCTCCTACTTCTGCGTCAACATCAATACCTAAATCAGGGTTGCTGCTGCTCCTATTGAGTAAAATATTAAATTAGTACAGTAATTACATCAGATATGGAAAACTTGAGGAAATTAAAACTGTATCAGGGTATACAACAAATTTTAACCATACAATAGAGCAAAAAAGTATGGTGAAGGACCTGGGAGTGAAATATCAGAGTGATAATATCACCTTCAAAGACCACAACAATGTATCTATCACATCTAGTAGAAAAATGATAGGATGGATAATGAGAACCTTCAAAACTAGGGACACCAAGCCCATGATGACTCTCTTCAAATCGCCTGTTCTCTCTAGGCTGGAATACTGCTGTACACTAACTGTCCTTCAAGGCAGGCAAAATTGACCTGGAGAATGTACAAAGAACTTTCACGGCACACGTAAGTATGATAAGGCATCTAAATTACTGGGAATCGTTGAAGTCCCTTGATTTGTATTCCCTGGAATGCAAGCGAGAGAGATACGAAAATCACTCCCTATGAAAGCAGAAGACTCAGCAGGAGATGCAACATTTCCCTAATGAAAATCAGGGGTGCCACGAGTACACTGACAGACAACACAATAAGTGTCCAGGGCCCACGACTGTTCAACTACCTCCCAACATACAAAAGGGGGATTACCAATAGACCCCTGGCACCTTAAGTTAGTACCTGACCAACCAGGCTGTGGTTCGTGCGTCAGTTTGCGTGCAGCCAGTAGTAACAGCCTGGTTGATTAACCCTGATACCCTCTCCAGGTATACTCCAGGTAAGGTCACCAGTATCATTATACAGTAATCCATAAAGAATTTAGACACAGGCTATAACATCACCTTTCTTATATCTGTATCACATACATATTAAGCGTTGAGAAGAAAACCAACATACTCACCAAGTGTCACTTTTGAGAAAATCGCCTATCAACTTCTTAAACATGCCCAAGCAACCCGCAAAAAGAAAAAGAAACTTCCAAGAGGTTATTTGTATACTGTTCTAGTCACTGTATTGTGCCTTTTTATCTGTTTTGTAACATGTATGGAACAACATTTCAGTAACCAACCACACAATTCTGATCAAACTGGTCCCATTTTAAAGCAAATTTAATGAGCTTTAAGGTGGTATAGCAGCTCTGCATTTTCTCTGGAGCCAGCCAGATCACAGTTTTTGGTCATGACCGCATGGTCAAACATTCCTCTTTAATCTTCATTGGAAAAGGGTAGGTAAAAATGACGAACTCACCAATCTGAGTGAGGAACGCATATAAAATCTGATGAATAATTTGATATAGAAAATGCAGTTTGGCAAATTTGTCAGTTGTCTTCTCAACGCCTCAATCATTTCCTTTGTTTTGTCACTTTAATTTTTTTTTCCTCAACATCCACTTCATTTATCAACAAATATTCTGTGTGGGGGTGCCCCACCCATGTAACTTTCAACCAATCTAT